GTGCTGGCGGAGGCTGCAGTGGTGTTCGCAGTGGTGCTGAGCATCCACGCTGCGGTGTGGGACCGATACTCGTGGTGCGCCGTGGCCCTCGCAGTGCAGGCGTTCTACGTTCAGTACAAGTGGGACCGGCTGCTCCAGCAGGGGAATGCCGTTTTCCAGTTCCGAATGTCCGCGAACAGTGGCTTGCTGCCGGCCTCCATGGTCATGCCTTTGCTTGGGCTGGTCATGAAGGAACGCTGCCAGACTGCGGGTAACCCGTACTTCGAACGCTTTGGCATTGTGGTTGCAGCCACTGGCATGGCAGTGGCTCTATTCTCTTCCGTGTTGGCACTGGGCATCACTCGCCCGGTGCCCACCAATACTTGTGCCGTCTCCGGTTTGGCCGGAGGCATCATCATTTATATTATGAAGCACTCCCTCAGTGTGGGTGAGGTGATCGAGGTCCTGGAGGTCCTGCTGATATTTGTTTATCTCAACATGATTCTGCTGTACCTGCTGCCCCGATGCTTCACTCCTGGGGAGGCACTGCTGGTACTGGGTGGCATTAGCTTCGTCCTCAACCAACTCATCAAGCGCTCTCTGACTGAAAGCCAAGGGGACCCAGTGGACTTCTTCCTGTTGGTGGTGGTGGTAGGGATGGTGCTCATGGGTGTCTTCTTCAGCACCCTCTTTGTCTTCATGGACTCAGGCACGTGGGCCTCCTCCATCTTCTTCCACCTCATGACCTGTGTGCTGGGCCTTGGTGTGGTCCTGCCCTGGCTGCACTGGCTCATCCGCAGGAACCCCCTGCTCTGGCTTCTTCAGTTCCTCTTCTACACGGAAACTCGCATTTACCTCCTAGCCTATTGGTCTTTGCTGGCCACCATGGCCTGCGTGGTGGTGCTGTACCAGAATGCCAAGCGGTCATCTCCCGAGTCCAAGAAGCACAAGGCTCCTACCATTACGAGAAAGTATTTCCACTTCATTGTGGTAGCCACTTATATCCCAGGGATCATCTTTGACCGGCCACTACTCTATGTGGCTGCCACCGTGTGTCTGGCAGTCTTCATCTTCCTGGAATATGTGCGCTACTTCCGAATCAAGCCCTTGGGTCACACTCTTCGGAGCCTTCTGTCCCTCTTCCTGGATGAACGAGACAGTGGACCCCTTATCCTAACGCACATCTACCTGCTTCTGGGCATGTCTCTTCCCATCTGGCTGATTCCCAGGCCCTGTACACAGAAGGACAGCCTGGGAGGAGCAAGAGCCCTGGTCCCCTATGCTGGGGTCCTGGCGGTGGGTGTGGGTGATACTGTTGCCTCCATATTTGGCAGCACCATGGGGGAGATCCGCTGGCCTGGAACCAAGAAAACATTCGAGGGGACGATGACGTCTATATTTGCTCAGATCATCTCCGTAGCTCTGATACTAATCTTTGACAGTGGTGTAGACCTGAACTACAGTTATGCCTGGATTTTGGGATCCATCAGCACTGTGTCACTCCTGGAAGCATACACTACTCAGATAGACAATCTCCTTTTGCCTCTCTACCTGCTGATATTGCTGATGGCCTAGTAGTAGCAGCTGTGACTGTGGAAACAGAGATATAGGGAAAAAGAATAAATGGTCCCCACGGCAGCTAGCTACTTGGACACCAAGAACTGAGGGGTGAAAAGCAGATCTGGTTTTTTTTCAATTGATTCAGACTTAAAATAAACAAGCAAAGCTCTCTTGGTTTTATTTTTGCTGATAATTAGAATACAAAAAGGCTTAAAGGGAGCCGGGCGTTGGTGGCGCACGCCTTTAATCCCAGCACTTGAGAGGCAGAGGCAGGCGGATCTCTGTGAGTTCGAGGCCAGCCTGGTCTACAGAGCTAGTTCCGGGACAGCCTCCTAAACAATGCAGAGAAACCCTGTCTCGAAAAACCAAAAAAAGACAAACAAAAAAACCAAAAAGGCTTAAAGGCATTCACCAGTTCAGGGAAGTTGAATATGCAGCAGAGTGTGCTCTTGTAGTCTGGGTAGGGCTTGGGTGAAGTGAACCCTGTAGGCAGCAGAACAGAAATGCTTAGGTGTCTGGTGACAGACAAACCTGGTCAGGATCCTTGGCCTTACAGTTTAACCGCATGGCATCTTTGAGTGAGTCTGTGCCTCAATTCTTCTATCTGTAGGATGGGAATAGTGACAGCCTGACCCTCACTGGATACTAGAAGGCTTTATTGTGTATGAGGTGTCCAAAGTATTCCTTCTGGAGGCCATCGAGACGGCTCAGTGGGTAAAAGTTCTTGCAAAACAAGGCTGAGATCAGTCCCTAGAACCCAGGTAAAAGGGAGAACCAACTCCCCAGAGCTGTCCTCTGACCTCCACATGTGCGTGTGCTGGCTCATGCATGCCTCCACAGATGCCACATATACACCACACTAAGTTTTTGTTGTTGCTTTTAGGTTTTCAGTCTGATCCACCTAAAACCAGTGAGGGGAAGTGTCACTATTACCCAAGACTAAACTCGTCTCATAAAAGAAGCCAGGCAGCATAGGAAGAAGATACGTTGTACTTGGATGAGGGAGTGGCCTTTCATCTCCTGGCTTCGCCCGGGAGAAAACCCAAGAGGTGAAGAACTGAATGCTTGCAGTGTCTCCTGCTTGGACTAGGACGAGCTGGAGAGAGCCATAGGTCAGCCCGTGTGCATAGAAAGGCTGAAGAAAGCTGGCCCCACCCTGCCTCTGCTGCCTAGAGGAGAGAACCTCAAGCTAGAAGGATGAACCTAACAGCCCTTGCATTCCAGACCTGGCCAAACGTGTATCTCTCTCTTCTGGTGCAGAGTCCAGATCCACAGAGGCTGGGAAGTTCCTGGAGAATTCATAACAGTTCGCTGTGGGTATGGGTGCAGGCTGTCTAGTTCCATCCTGAGTCTCCATGTCTCCCAGGGTTTGCACAGAGCCTGGCCCTGTGGTAGACATTGACTAAACAAATGAGCAGTTGCCATCAGTGAGAAGATAACGCCAGGATTCCTAAGGCCTCCCCGCAACATGGCAAGCAGAGAGACAAGGCCAGAAGCCAGCTGAAGTCTCTTCCTGGGAATCAATGCCAAGCCCTTTCCCTCAGAGCACTGGGTCATTCCTCTGGTGCCAATGGAAAGTTAACAAGCCCAGTGTTCACTCTCCTCTGTGTCAAAGGTGGCCTGATGTTGGAGAAAGAGCACCAGCTTGCTCACCAACTCCCTGCCTGGCCTTGCAAAGCATTCTGCGGGGCTTTCCAGTTGGTAGAGGACTAGACCCAAGCTTCAGATGTGGCTGCCAAGGCCAAGCAGATGGCTCAGTGACTGAGGGCATAGAACTTTGCTGGGCCTCGCTTCAGTAGGGAGGGAAGGAGGCAAGTTTATCCTGGCATCCAGAATCCTCCCTGGCTGAAGGATCACAATTTTGAGGCTATCTTGAGCTACAAAATAAGCTGAGGGTCAGCTTGGGCTACATGAATGCTATCTTCTTTTTTTTGAGAGAGAGGGTCTCACAGTGTTTTTGTTTTTGCTGGCCTGGAATTTGCTAATAGGCTACCCTCCCAACTCCCAGCTGTTCTGCCCCCCCATCTAGGATCAAAGGCATTTGCTGTGGCACCCTGCTCAAAATGCTTCTTTTAAAAGGTTGCCAAGATAGCTCAGTGGATAGTTCCATGTTAGGGCAGGAGCAGTGGCTCAGCTGCTGACTCGCCATCCCCAGGGCCCAGTTCCAGGGGGACTGACACCCTCTTCTAGACACCAGGCACACATGTGATGCACAGACATACAAGCAGGCAAACACTCATTTACATAAAAAATAAAAATGAGTCCTTACACACCTTTAATCCCAGCACTCCAGAGCCAGAGGCAGGTGGAACTCTGTGAGTTTGAGGACAGCCTGGTCTACAGAGTGAGTTCCAGGACAACAGTACACAGAACCATCTCAAAAAAAAGTGTGTGACACTGAGGGTAGAGCCCAGGACCCTGTGCAAATATGCTACAACTGAGCTCAAAGTGCAGCTTTTTGCTTTAAAAAGAAAAAACAGCCGGGCGTTGGTGGCACATGCCTTTAATCCCAGCACTCAGGAGGCAAAGGCAGGCGGATCTCTGTGAGTTTGAGGCCAGCCTGGTCTACAGAGTGAGTTCCAGGACAGCCTCCAAAACAATACAGAGAAACCCTGTCTCGAAAAACCAAAAAAAAAAAAGAAAAAAGAAAAAAGAAAAAACAATGTGGTTGCAACATCTAACTCCTCTGTTTGTGATATCTGGCCAGTCTTCAGCTAAGCAGGATTGGGATCTAGTAGTTGTTCTAGAAGGTGCTGCTAAGCATACCCACAAGAGTCACTCTGGCAGGCCCTCATTGACCTTTGCTACCCAGAATGAAAAGGCCCTGAGAAAGGAAGGACGGGGCCTGAGGAGAGCAAGCTGGCCTCAGACCCAGCCATCAAGACCTAAGACTGCATTCCTATCCCCAGACACAGCCATCAAGACATAAGACTGCATTCCTAGCCCCAGGGTTCTTTCTACTTTCCAGCAGAGGACAAAGGGGGTAGAGATTAGACACTCAGGCCTGGAGGGGACAGGATAACTAAGCATTTGTGTGCGTGGGGCAGGTCATTTTCCCTTTCCTGGTCAAGTCCTGGGTTCACAAACACAGGTAAGAACCCCTGCCTCTCCTGCTAAGTATGCACAGTGAGTGCCCACTAATGTTGTTCACTATTACTGTGTGTAACCGCACAAGACAGGGTGGGGTGCCCTTAATGGCTTTCTGCAGGGCTGCTAGTGGGAGAAGGATGGATGGAGAAGCTATGTCCAAGTCATTTTGTTGGGGCTGGCGAGATGGCTCAGTGGTTAAGAGCCACTGGCTGCTCTTTCAGACAGGTTCAATTCCCAGCAGACTCATGACAGCACACAACCATCTGCAATTCCAGTTCTAGGGAATCCAACTCCCTCTTCTGGCCTTCACAGGCACTGCACACAAGTGGTGCACAGACATACACACACATAAAACACTCATATACATAAAATATACTCTAAGTCATTTTTATTCGGTGCTTTACACAGTAACTTCCATCCAAGAGAAAACTGGAACTCAGCCAGGATCCTTTCACTGCTGAGAGGGCACTTCAGAAGGCTGGGTTAGGACAGAGAGGTGACAGGCAAAATTGTGGAGGAAACCCTTCACCCTGCCTGGGCTGCTGCCCTGCCACCTCTGCTTCTTGTCTCCCTGTCTGCTGGGCCAAGGTCACAGACACCATCAGAAAAAAAAGCCCATACAGGAGGATGTGCCCTTGGGTTGCAGCCAGAGGCCCTGGTGTTGGCAACTTCACTCCATGGCAGACTAGCCCAGATCTGCCAGGGCCTTTAGATGTACAGCGGAGGGAAAGGCAGCTCAGTCGTGGGCTGCAGCCTGCAGAGTGCAAGGGTGGCCTTAGCGACCACTGGGCCTCGGCTTCAGGGTCTTCTCAGGAAGCTCTCTGAGGCACGTACCGACCCTGCTACCTACCAGTTCTCTGGGCTCCAGACAGTGCCGGCAGCGGCCTCCATGAGGTGGAAAGTATAGGCCTGGCGTGAGCGGTCGGAGAGGTTCTGCTCACTCTTATGCACCACTTGTCCGTGGATCAGGACCAGACCCCCTTGGGGAATACCGCCCAGTTACCAGATGGCAGGCACCATGGAACCCTTTGGGTGCCAGGGGTGGGACAAACAGACAACTAGGCATGGCCACCTACCTCTCCGCACTGGCAAAGGCACAAAGAGGTTGTTATCCCAGGCTGGCTCTGACCCAAGGAAGCTGGTGGCAGGGCTGGAGCCTGCTGGGGCTCTGATCATTCTTCTTGACACCCCACCTGTGGGCCAACATGTTGCCTTTAGTCTCTCTTTTCGTACGCTCCTCTCCCTGGGAAGGCTGAGCAGAGGTAGATCGAGTCCTCACTAGTATGGGAGCCAGGGATGAACCAGAGGCAGCCGTTCTCCAACGTGGCATCCTCCATCGCAATCCACACGCCCAGCACACGACCCAGAGGCTCCGTGTACAGAAAGGTAGCATCTTGGTGAGGGAAGACTGTGATAGACCCATCTGGGGGTGAGTACGGGGCCCTTGGCTAGGCCCCACCTCACCTTGGCCAGGTTCTCATTCCATAACCTTCCCAGGACCAACCTCCCTATCACCAGTGAAAACTCTCACCACTACTTGGCCTACAAGCTCTGGGCAACAGATTCCATCCCTGAAAGTGTCTCTAAAGTGGTTCCAACTACAGCCTGCCTCAAAGGCCTGCTAGAAGCTTCTGTAAAATGACCTATTAAAATTACCTAGTACAGGAGAGACAGCTAGAGAGATGAGTCTATGGTTAAGAGCACTGGCTATTCCAGAACTAGCACTCCCATGGTAGCTCACAACCATCTAAAATGGGATCCATTACCCTCTTCTGGTGTGCAGACAGCACTCATATATGTAAAATATATAAATCTTTTTAAAAATTGCTTAGTGCAGGCTGGGCATTGGTGGCACATGCCTTTTATCCTAGCACTTGGGAGGCAGAGGCAGGCAGATCTCTGTGAGTTCGAAGCTAGCCTGGTCTACAGAGTGAGTTCCAGGACAACCTCCAAAGCAGTACAGACAAACCCTGTCTCGGAAAAAAAAATTGCTTAGTGCAAGGCCTAACCTTATAATGCATAAACAGAACAAACAAACAAACAAAACCCTATTGTTTAATCCCGGTCACATCACTGAAGCCATCATACTTAACCAGGGCAAGCAGATTCAAACCACCAAATGGTCCACCAGTACCATCATAAGCTAGAAATATAAGCAGAGCAAGGTACTGATTATGAATGACCAAGCCGCTACATTCCTTTGTTGGCCCAACTATGTAGCCTGGTATTCACAATCCTCCTGTCTCCAGAGTACGGGGACTATAGACTTGTGCCACCAGACTGGAATAACATTCATATTTGCATACTAGGTAAATGTTCCCCCATTGACCTATAGCCCTAATCCTCTTTTTTCTTTTGTTTTGAGACAGAGTTTCAGTGTGTTGCTGAGGCTAGCAACTCAGTTCTCCCCAGTAGCTGGAACTAGAGGGTTATGCCACAGCACAGCCTCCTGGTTTTTGTTTTTGTTTTTTTTTTTAATATTTTATTTATTTATTGTGTATACAGTCTTCTGCCTGCATGCCAGCGGAGGACACCAGATCTTATTCAAGGTGGTTGTGAGCCACCATGTGGTTGCTGGGAATTGAACTCAGGACCTCTGGAAGAACAGTCAGTGCTATTAACCACTGAGCCATCTCTCCAGCCCCAGCCTCCTGTTTTATTCGTCAGGAGACACAGCCCCAGTCCATTTGCATCCACTTCTAAAGCCTCCCTATGTTGATGCCAGGCACACCCAGGATGAAGAAGCCACTAGACAGAGGAGCTTTGTACACAGTGTCAAGTGACGCGGTACCAGTCTCAGAGGACCCAAGTTCAATTCCCAGCACCCACTTGGCAGCTTACAACTGTCTGAAACTGCAGTTCCAGGGGAATGAGAGCTTACAACTGTCTACAACTCCATTGAATACACCCTCACACAGACAGACATAAAAATAAATAATTAAAAATAAAGAAAACCAACTTTTTAAGCCAGGCATGGTGGTGCATGCCTTTAATCCCGCCCTGGAGAGGCAGACACGGCGGGGATCTCTGTGAGTCTACAGAGTGAGACCCAGGACACCCAGGGCTTTATAATAAGATCCTGTTCCCTGTTTTGAACAAAAAATGGTATGGGCCACATGGCGACTATTTCTTTGTGATACAGTGTTGTGACAGGGCTGGAGAGATGGCTCAATGGTTAAGAGTACTAACTGTCCTTCCAGAGGACCTTAGTTCAATTCCCAGCACCCACATGGCAGCTCACAACTGTCTGTAACTCCAAGATCTGACATCCTCACACAGACATACATGCAGGCAAAATGCCAATGTACATAAAATAAGAATAAATAAATTATAAAAAAAAGTGTTGTGACATTGCAGACCACACTTCTCCAGCACCTTTTTTTTTTTTTAATGATTCTCACTATTAATGCCTTTCCCTTTGGGAAATTTTGTGTGGGCTTTGGTAAAGAGTGAAAATGTATAAACAGAAGCTCTTTAAATAAAATAACTCTTTTGAAAAAATTCCTGCCACCTGGAAACCAGAAATCTCATTGCGTTCTCCGAATTACACAGAAACCAGCAGTTAGCTATTCCTTGACACACCTGACCCCAAGGATGAACTGCCTACAATTCAGATGCAGAGCCTAGGGCCCTAAAGGGCAGGAGTTCAGTTAATAACTATAGGGAAATCAGAATGGTATGGTATAATGGGAAAAGCGTAAGACATCAGAACCTAACCTGTTGGGAGTGTTATGAGAGAACAGGCCCATACAAGATCAGTGTTTATCCCCTGGAGGAATGAGAATGCTCTTATAGTATGTGGTCCCCAGAAGTGTCTTTCCCAAGGCCAGGCATTTAGATAAGGGCCTCCATTCCCTTGGAGGCTTGAGGAAAGTTCCTACTTGCTTGAGCAGTCATTCTCATTATCTCTGGCACCAGGAGCTTGTGGCCCTTCCGTCCATCAACATATGATGACTGATGCCTGTTGTCAAGGTCAATGCTAGATTCCTCAAATCCTGGTCTCAAACCCCAGCTCAATGCCCCCTTTCCTTCCACTTAATCCTATGTGGAACTATAGCATATAAAAGGTGTATTCTTTTTTTCAATAAACACTGCTGGCAGCCATCCCGATTAACCCTCAGATGCTGTCCAGCTTCTCTCCTTCCGCCGACTCCACACCTCCTTTTTGGAACCTGAACCCCTGCCGAAGCTAGTCTTTGGGAAGAAAAAAATCTTAGGGAGTAGGACCAAGGGTTCTGCTCTCAACCAGCTAAGTTTGCTGTTGGAATTGGGACCACTGTACTAAGGGCTCTGGGGACCCTCCCTCCCCCAGGCTACTGTTCTAGGCAGGGATGGAAGGTGGCTGCCCTGGCCCAGGTCCTCGCCCATTCCTCAGATCCTGCAGAAAGTGTTTTCCCTCCCTTCAAACACTCAGTGGGCACTGTTGTCCTGTCTCCAGCCTGAGGCCTCTTCTGGCTCCCACAGCAAATCAGCCTCAACTCACCTTCACCGCCAAAGTGAGGTTGCTGCAAGAGAAGGTAAAGAACTCGTCAGGACAGAGGAGAGCGGAGTGGGGTTTGACCTGAGTCTGTCTTTTTTTGGGGGGGTTTGAAACAGGGTTTCTCTGTGGCTTTGGAGGCTGTCCTGGAAGTAGCTCTTGTAGACTAGACTGGCCTCGAACTCACAGAGATCCGCCTGCCTCTGCCTCCCCAGTGCTGGGATTAAAGGTGTGCGCCACCACCGCCCTGTCTTTAACAACCCTGCATTAGCACCCACCTACTGAGTACCTGCGGATGCTCAGTCTAAGAGGGGAACAAAGAGAAACCACCCCACCCAACAGGAGTTTGAGGTCTGCACTGAGGCAGCAAGTACCCACCCTGCAAGTCCACAAAATAGAGCCCAGTGATCCCAGTGCTAGGACAGGCTTCGACTGACCCTTTGCAAGGGGCAGGGGGCTCTTTTCCCATTCTTAGAGAAGTTGTGTTGAGCTGGCCCTTAAGAGCTGAGAGCAGACCGTTCGATAGAACAAGGGTTCCCTCTTCCTTCTCCTAACAGGTTCTTTTGTTTGTTTTTCGAGACAGGGTTTCTCTTTAGCTTTGGAGCCTACCGTAGAACTTGCTCTGAAGACTAGGCTGGCCTAGAACTCACCAAGATCTACCTGTTTTTGCCTCCGGAGTGTTGGAACTAAAGGTGTGCACCACCACCACCTGGCTCTAACAGGTTTTAATTGATTGTCTATGTAGTGCCAAGCACCTCAGCCAGAGTCTGGCTCTACATGCCCCCCTCCAGGAGTCTGACCACAGTTCCAGCAGTTCTTGGCCTAGTGTAAGATGATGCTGTGTAGCCCGACGTTGGTGGCGCACGCCTTTAATCCCAGCACTCAGGAGGCAGAGGCAGGCGGATCTCTGTGAGTTCGAGGCCAGCCTGGTCTACAGAGTGAGTTCCAGGACAGCCTCCAAAGCAATACAGAGAAACTGTGTCTCAAAAAAAAAAAAACAACAACAACAACAAAAAAAGATGATGCTGTGTATGAACAGCCTGTCATCTTACAGAGGGTAAACTGAGGTGTGGGAAGGCTGCAGAGCTTACCTTAAAGATATACATGCTCTGCACCACCACTGGCAGCTGGAGGCCCAAACTTCTGATCAAAGCCTGGAAGATGAAAGCCACACTGCCGGCATGCTCTCAGACACACACACACACACACTCACACACACGCACTGCCAGCTGTTCACACATACACATGCGCGCACACACACACACACACACACACACACACACACACACACACACTGCCAGCTGTCCGCCCACATCTGTCCCTTACATTCTGTCACTTTCACCTCCAGCCCCCACTCACCTGCACCTTGGGAGAATGTGTCACACTCCTGAAGACAGGTTCATGGGCATGCAGAGCTATGGGTCAGAGATAGGTTCATGGGCTAGCCTGGGCCCCTGTGTATCCCTCCCACACTCTGAACACCAGACTCAGGCCTCACTTTGAGGTTTCCACCTATTCTAAACTTTCTGCTTGTTTATAACTAGGCAAAGGGCTACAGACATCTTGACCCTATTCTGTCCAGGGCCTTATTCCTTTTTTGTTTTATTTTGCTTTTGTAACACGATCTCACGTGTCCCAGGATGGCCTGGGAGTTACCATGTACCTGAAGATGACCTTCAGTTTCCCGTCCTCCTGCCTCCGCCTCAGGTGTGCCAGCATCAAAGGCACAGGCCACCATGCCTGGCTTATACAGTGCTAGGGATAAAACCCTGGGCTTCACTAGGCAAGTGCTCTACCAAGTGAGCCACACCCCAGTCTCCTGTGACCTTAGTCATCACCTTCTGACCACCGGGAAAGCCTCATTCCAGCCTTGACTCCCCACACCTCAGAGTTAAAAGGACTCACAGAGGCCTGTCTCTTGGTAGCAATCTCAGCAATGCCATTTCCTCTGTGTGAGCTCAGATGACAAGCCTCTCCTATGAGCCTCAGTCTCCTCCTTTATTTATTTATTTATTTATTTATTTATTTATTTATTTATTTATTTTTTGGTTTTTCGAGACAGGGTTTCTCTGTAGCTTTGGAGGCTGTCCTGGAACTCACTTGGTAGTCCAGGCTGGCCTTGAACTCACAGAGATCCACCTGCCTCTGCCTCCCAAGTGCTGGGATTAAAGGCGTCAGTCTCCTCCTTTATAAAATGGGGGTGAGTCCCAGCACTCGGGAGGCAGAGGCAGGCGGATCTCTGTGAGTTCGAGGCCAGCCTGGTCTACAGAGCAAGTTCCAGGACAGCCTCCAAAGCCACAGAGAAACCTTGTCTCGAAAAACCAAAATAAAATAAAATAAAATGGGGGTGCAAAGAACAGCTATACCCCCCAGGAATGTTGTAGGGCTCAGGACCAAGCAATGTGCAACAGCAGTCCAGATCCTAGCATGAGACAACCACTCCTTGCAAGCATATGCAATTGTTATTACAAAAAGGGTTGAACACACTTAATGACACTGAGTTATACTCTTGGAAATGGTAATGATGAACAAGGTATTATGGTGCATGCCTGTAGTCCCTGCATTCACTCCAGAGACTGAGGCAGGAGGTTTCTGAGTTCCAAGCCAGCCTGGTCTACAGAGCAAGTTCCAGGACAGGCTCCAAAGCTACAGAGAGAAACCCTGTTTCAGAAAAAAAATAGGAAAAACAAAATAAAAAAAGAGAGCCAGTGAGAAGGCTCAGTGGATAAATATGCTTACTACTAAGCCTGACAACCCACACAAGGTTTCTCTGTGCAGCCCTCACTGTCCTGGAACTCATTCTGTAGACCAGGCCTGGCCTCGAACTCATGGATGTTGGGAGATGTCATTCTATAAGTATGCGTCTGATTGGTTTGAATAAAGCATTGTTGGCTAATAGGGAAGCAAGATAGGTGGGACTAGGAGTCGAGGAGGATTCTGGGAAAGAGAGACACAGGCAGACACAATGTAGGCCGCCAGAGGAGTAAGAGGTACGGACCCTTTTCTCCGGTAAGAGAAATACTTAGATTAACAACTACGGGTTAAATACTTAAGTCAGAGCTAGCCAGTAAGAAACCAAGCAAATGGCCAACAGCTTCATAATTAATATAGTGTCTTGTGTGTTATTTGGGGACTGCAACTGTGGCAGGGCCCAGGCATCTGGCAGGGAAGACTACACGTTACACATGGAGATCTGCCTGCCTCTGCCTCCCCACTGCTGGGATTAAAGGGTGCATCACCACTGTCCTGTGGTCAAACCATCTTATGGTGGGCTCTGGTCTTGATTAAACTCTTCAGATCTCAGATGCCATATTTTCTTTTCTGTACTTACCATGACCGATTTTGTTGACAGATTTCTCTGGAGGGACCAAGAAATTTCCTGTGGTACAAAGAAACAGACAAAGGCAGGCAGAAGACCTGGGGTCCAGCTTTCCTCAGGTGACTGGTCTCAGCTCCCTCTCAGCCCCAGGAGGAGCCACCCTCATCCAGCCACACCCACCCTCATGTCCCCAGAGCCCCGCTCCAGACCTTTCTTGTCAAAAACGCCTTTCTCGAAGAAGAACCGAACCTTGTCACCACTGCTCAAGAAGTAGTCTGTGTTGCCCTGTGGAGGAGACATAAGACGGACTAGGGAATGGTTGGGAACAGAGCTGGGTGTGACAAAGAGAGGAGTAGATTCAGGTGCAGCCCACCCCACAGAACTACAGATGCCCTCCCCAGGGGCTTCTCAAACATGACCGCTGAGGTACACACAGTGTACATAAAATAAATTATTTAAAAAAATAATAAAATGTAAGAGTTAGCTAATAACCAGCCTGAGCTATCTGCCCAACATTTATAATTAATAGTAAGTGTCTGTGTGGTTATTTGGGAGGGACTGCTGAGGTACAGAAAAACTCAGTTTACAGGCCAGCAAGCCCTAAGGATCCACCTGTCTCCACCTCTCCAGTAGTAGGGTTTCTGTACCCCGATAATAGGTTTCTCCGTCAACACAGTAAATCACATCAAGCAGATTGAAAAAGCAAAAGAACAGGTTTATTTGAACAAAGCAACTTCCAGGTGATTTCTCCAGCCCCAGAGATGGAGGCAAGAGAAGTCCCATGCATTTATTTGGCCCTCATAAACTCAGAGAGTGGCATTATTAGGCTTTGTTGGAGGAAGTGAGGTCCTATTAGAGGAGGCTGGATGACACGCGCCTTTAATCCAGACTTTGAGGATAAAGGGCACACCTTTAATCTGGGCCACACCTTCTGTTGGAAGTGTGTCACTGTGAGGGTGGGATTTGAGGTTTCATATGCTCAGAAACTATCCAGTCAGGTGTAGGACCCTTGGCTATTTCTCCAGTGTCATGTCTGCCTGCACTCTGCCATGCTCCCACCATGATGGACTGAACCTCTGAACTACTAAGTGAGCCCCCTCAATTAAATGTTTTCTTTATAAGAGTTGCTGTGGTCATGGAGTCTCCTCACAGCAGCAGTAAAGCCTAACTAAGACAGGAACATCTTGCCACAGACCCTTTCTCTGTACTCTCTCTGCTTCCCAGCTGCCATGAGGTGAGCAGCTCTGCTCCGTCATGACCTCCCTGCCATGAAGCCAAGTGATCATGAACTGAGCCATCTGAAACAGTAAGCCCAATAAATCTATCCTCCTGGTTGCCAGGTTTTGTCACAGTAACACCTGCCCACTTGTACAGCTTTTCCTAGCCTTAAACATACTAAGAAAACACACACTGGCAGCCTATTTTATATGTTTAGTATCTTTTTAAATTTTTATTTATTTATTTATTTATTTTGGTTTTTCGAGACAGGGTTTCTCTGTATTGTCTTAGAGGCTGTCCTGGAACTCTCTTGGTAGACCAGGCTGGCCTCGAACTCACAGAGATCCACCTGCCTCTGCCTCCCAAGTGCTGGGATTAAAGGCATGCGCCACCAACGCCCGGCTTAGTATCTTTTTTTTAAAGATTTATTTATTTATTATGTACAGTGTTCCTTCTGTATGTGTGTCTGCAAGCCAGAAGGGGGCACCAGATCTCATTACAGATGGTTGTGAGCCACCATGTGGTTGCTGAGAATTGAACTCAGGACCTTTGGACGAGCAACCAGTGCTCTTAATCTCTGAGCCATCTCTCCAGCCCTATGTTTAGTATCTTATATGAACTATGGAGTCCTGAGCTCAAAATGACAGAATGGTTCTCTGTGAGCTCGAGGCCAGCCTGGGATACATAGCCAATTCCAGAACAGACAAGGCTATAGAGTAAGACCCTATCTGAAAACAAACAAGCAAAGCCAGGTGTTTGTGACATACACATTTAATCCCAGCACTTGGATGGCGGAAGCAGATGGATCTTTGTGAGTTCAAGGCCAGCCTGGCCTGCAGAGTGAGTTCCAGGACAGCCAGGGCTACTCAGTAAAATCCTGTCTCAAAAAACCAATCAGTCACTCAAACGACCAAACATTTTATCTGAGGAAGGCGCTGTGTCACCAGAGAAAAGAACACCGCTAAGATGCCCACTGGAGCCTGCGGGCACTCACACTGTAGAGCAGGCTGGCCTGGAACTCACAGAGATCCACCTACCCCTGCCGCTTGAGTGCTGGAACTAAAGGCATGCGCTACCATGCCCAGTTCTCTCCCCCCTCCACCCCCTTTTTTCTCCCCTAAGATAAAAAAATGTATGTGTCTGTAGAGGGTACTGGATCCCCTAGAACTGGTGGTACAGACAGCTGTGAGCTTCCATGTAGGAGCTAGAATTGAACCTGGGTCCTCTGGAAGAACAGTCAGTGGTCTCGGCCACTGAGCCCTCTCTCCAGCCCCCCCCCTTCTCCTTTCAACTTTCTTATCTCTGCTATCTACTGATTGTTGAAGTCAGAAGACAGTTGGGGGAGAGGACAAAATTCAGCCCCCTCATTCCTTAGAGTGTGTGTGTGTCCTTCTATTTGGATAAAAGCGGAAACAAACAAACAAAAAAACTCAAAAATTTAGGCTGTAATGTGTTTTCTGAAGACTCCACCCTCCCCTATCCTGGGGAAGGCACTTCTGGATGCTGTAATTCTGTTTATGCCCACAAGATGGCAGAAGCTCATTGACATCAGTTAGAGTGAGCCCTGTTGCCAGATCAAGGAGGGTTAATAAAACTGGCTTGGGGAAAGCAACTGGCCTTCCTAGTCTGACAAGAGGATGACTCACCCCAGAGTGGTCCATCAGAATCTCACGGCTCACTCTGGTCACAGAAGGATCTTTGTGGCAGGAGAACTTGAGGAACCATAGCAGGTCAATGCCCAGCACCGCGTGAGCTGGATTCAAGTCCTGGCTCTTATCAACTACAAACTGTGTGGCTGGAGCAACCAGTATTACCCAAGGAAAAGCCCTGCTTTTCCCATGACCAAGTCAAAATGATCCTATCACGTAAATTCATAGTGAGCAGTGACACAGCATAGCTCCATAGGCTGGTACCCCGCATGCAGATGGCTGAGCTCTGATCTCTTATCAGAAGAAGCCTGTGGCCTAGGCTCCTCCCATCCAGGCTGCTGCCTCAGGAGGGCACTGAGCTCCCATCAAAAACCAGATGCCTCGAGACCAGCCTGGACTACCAAGGGAGTTCCAGGACAGCCTCCAAAGCCACAGAGAAACCCTGTCTCGAAAAAACCAAAAAAAAAACAAAAAACAAAAAAAAAACCAGATGCCCATCCTCATGGACCCCGGTACCCACCTGAGTTCGAAGCTGCTCATCTTCCTGGGTGGAAAACTCTGTCCGACAGTGCAGAGGGACGTCCATCTCAGCCACAATCTCACCAATCCTCTCTTGCATGGCCACACACTCTTCGGCCGTCAAGAATCCTTCCAACAGCAGAAACCCATCCTCCTGAAACTGCAGGCAGAAACGAGACGAGGGATTCTCTCTGCCCTCCCCCATTCCTTATGATCCATGTTTGATCGCAAACCTGAACCAAGATCAGCGTCCTGCTGCTGCTCTGTCCCCTGTCCTGGATATGTGTGTCTGGTACTCAGTGAACAAACAGTCAATATGGCTGCTTAGATCTTAGAGAGGAAAGAGAAGGGAGATTGTCTCTGCTTTTGGACTCCAGCGGGTTTGGGACATATGGAAATACAATCTTTTTTGCTTACACATTTATGTGTAAATGTGTCTGAGTACAGAACACGTGTGTGTGTGTTTGCAGGTGTACATGTTTATGCATGTGCAGAGCCTTTTTCCATTCCTGAGGAAGGCAGCCTCCTTGAACCTGGGATTGTTTCTTCTTCACTAGACTGATAGCCTGTAAACCCTAGCATTCCTGCGTCCACCCGGAAGGCAGGCTTACAGGCATGTGCAGGTTAAGTGGATGCTGAGATTCAAACCCTGATCCTCATGATTGCACAAGACTTCCTAACCACTGAACTACCTCTCTAGCCCCCTTCTTTTTTTTTGTTTTGTTTGCTTCCTTTTAGACGGGGGTGTGTGTGTGTGTGTGTGGGGGTGTCTCTGTGCAGCTTAGGGAGGCCTCAAACTCATGGTCCTCCTGCCTTAGCCTCCTGAATGCTGGCATTACAGGTGTGCACCACCATATCTGGCTGTCCAGTCTTGACTAAGCATGAGTGTGTATGAGACAGTTTTAGGATAGACATGTGGTTACGAACAAGCCACCCTCACACAGTTTTCAGTCCAGTGATGGGGACCCAAAAGTCACTGATTGGTAGGCAAACACACCATACCACATTATGTTGAGTACAGGGAGCGAGGGGCACGCTTGAGAATTAAAGGCAGAGCATCTACTGAGGATACTCTACAGGATACTGGGAGGCGGAGAGACAGGGAAGGGCCATTGCAGACAGAGAACAGGGTATGCAAAGCCTCTGGACACCGGAAGAACGTGAGAAACTGGGAAGGGATGGGGCCCAGGGTGAGGAGAGGGCTGGAGGAGCCAACCGGAAGGAGGCAGGGCTGGGGCGGACAGAGATGGCCTTCCTCCCGAGTCTAGTGGGAAGCTGGTGAACACAGACAGCTCATTCTGACGTAGGCCTGTCTTTTTATTCCGGAACTGCAGAGAAACGTACGGGTGAGAAAGAGCATCTGCAGGGCTGGAATGTCACTCGGAAGTAGATTGGTTGTCCAACCCGTCCACGGCCCTGGCTTCCGTCCCCAGCATTGAAAAGGAAAACAAAACAAAGTTAAGGGTCCGAAGCAAAGATGAGCTGGGTGTAGTGGCCCATGTCTTCTAATCCCAGCACTCCGGAGGCAGAGGCAGGCTGATCTCCGAGTTTGAGGCCAGCTGGATCTACATAGTGAGTTCTAAGACACCCAGGCTACACGGAGAAACACTGGGTGAGGGGTGATACTGACAAGGGGCTCTGTCCCCGGATGTACTGCGAGATAAGAAAAAGGACTGACTTCCAGTGAGTAATTAGCCACAGATAAGTTTGACAACTGAGGCAAGAGTGGCAGCTGTCATGAGAGACTAGGGTGTGAGTGTAGGTGTGGGGGGGGGGGATGAGGTGGAATCTAACAGGGCCACCAGCCAGCACTCAACTACTAAGCTACAAACACAGCTCCAGGAGGGACTTTGAAACAAGGATCCAAAGGAAGGCTAGATCTAAAACATTAACAGTTTTGGCATATGAATCCATGGGTGGGTATTTTAAAGCGTGTGTATTCTAACTCCTAACCCCTATATGATAGGTTTTTGTAATGGACTGACCTACCTACTGGCCTGTCCCATGTTTTCCTGCCTTCCTTGATAGGCTCCAGGGCTGGCTGGATTGGCTAATCTGAATTCTGGCTTCTCTACCCCGTACCCTGAATCCCCCCCACACCCCACCTGGGGGTGCTTGTCTGTGATCTCTGATTCAGGCCATGTACACAGAATTTAGGGTTTATGCCCTGGGAACCTTCTCTCCTTTGTGAAATGTCAGGGGTAGGTTAAATCCAAGGGTCACTAGAGAGGTCTATACCCTCTCCAGCCACAGGCCCCTACCTTTTTGAGCTGTGAGGGACTCAGGCAGGCCATGGGGACTACTGCAAGACACTGCTGGCTCAGGGTGCTGACTCCTGGACTGGAGAGGAGAAAGTTCAGGAAGAGACCAGTGAGGAGGCCCAGAAGGGCTTAATTGTTAACTACCCAGAAAACAGCCCACCCTACAGCTCCACCCTCCCCACCAGCCCAGTCCTGTCTGTGCCTTCCATGCAGCTCCCAGTCCCATCCCTCCCCCCTCCCCCACCATTTCTGACCTCTGAAGTGGACCTGGTTTCTCCCTGCACCAGCCCAGCCTCCAGTTAATCCGGGACTAACCTTCACCTGTTCTCCCTTGATCCCTCCGGTTTCTCTCCTGGGTGGTACTGGGGATTGTTACTTAGCGTGGGGCAGGCAGAAGACGGTTAGTGAAGTCACCGTTAGTATGAGGAAGGCAAAGTTCCTCAGTCCTCAGTCACGGGATCTGAATCTACTGAGGCAGGGTGTGTGGGACTGAGTGGCCTAAGAGTTGCTAGGCTGTGTGCTCCAGCTTTGATTTAAAGCCCTCTAGATGCTGGAAGACTGGAGCCACTCTGAGGGAGGGCAGATGAGGGGGTCCTGGGGCCTCAGAATGCTTTCTGCTCTCCAGCCTCAGACCCAGGATGGCTGGTGTCTACAGAGGGGCTGGCAGGATAGTCAGAACCACCTGCTGGCTCTGCAGCTGACAGGGGCATTGAGCTCTAAAAAGCTGTCCACTGGCCTTCCCAGAAACGGTGCTTTGGTGCCAAGGGACAGAGTGTCTCAGGAGTGAACGAGGGGACACTGCTCAGCTGTGGAGAGCCTTGGCTCCGGATCAAGTGTTTTCTGGGCCACAACCCTGGGAGCTGCAGCTTTGTCCAGGCTGTGTGGCCTTCAAGAAAGCCAGCGAGGACTGTGTACACTGGCCCGAGGCTGATGGAAATTCTCTTGGGTCGGGCTGGGGAAGGCCCCGGAGACAGAGCAGGGAGAGTCACAAGGCAGGGCACGCAGAACTAGTCCTTTCTGATGCAACCGCTGAGCAAAAGCAGACACCCAACCAAGTTCCAGGAACACAAGTGGAGAGGGCCCCTACTGCTGAGCCAGCAGTGGCCTGGGACCTCACCAAAGGCTGGGGGCAGGGGCTCGGCCAGGCGCTGGGGAGTCAGCCCTTACTTTCTGCAGTCGCTGATAACAGGACCCCAGTGAACAACAAGCCTGATAAGAAGCCAGACCTGGGGCTATTGCCTAGGAGGTGACTCCCAAGGGGTTCACCCAACGCTGGCAGAGTGAGGGTGAGGTCCTGAAGGGGGAGGAAGTGTTTTGTTTCTAAAACTATTTTCCAGTTTCTCCAAGTTTTCTAAGCTGTTTTTGTAAGTAGAGGTTAGGCCACCACCGTGGTTTCAGGTAGCATGGAGAGGCAGGGATGAGGGGGGTGGGACAGGGAGCCTCAGTTCTAGTCATTCTGCTGGCCTTGAGGGGAGGGTGGGCTGTGTTTCCGCATCATTCTTCCTCAGAAGCTAACCAGTTCCAGACTGAATTCTCAGGGGCTGGGGAATTTACAGGCCTGAGGGTCTCTCCCAATCCCCACCCCTACCCCAGGGTGGAAACAGGGTGGGGAGGGAACCAGACCAGCCAGACCAGACCAGACAGGGCAGAAAGTTCCCCACCTGAAGGTATGAAAGAGGTTCTTCAGTGAGTGGAGCCCGCTGTCTGCTAGCAGCCCCCAGGGCGGAGGTAGAGGGAGCGCTGGCTCAGATCTGAGGGGCTGGTCCCTGTGGAGCAAGGGAGACAGGCTATCTAGTCAGTTCCAGAACTGTCCAAGCAACTCAGGGCTCCTCACTAAAACCGTCCTCACCTAGAGGTTCCTGGTGCAAGCCCTCACGATGGGCACATGGTCCAGAAGGAAGGTGGGGGACTGCTGAGGGGCCACAGACTATGGCTTGAAGCCCCAAATCCATCTATAAGAAATGAATTCTACTTATTTTGACTTTTTGATAAACCCTCAAAATGGCCCTCTCTGCTTGTTCCATAGGTCTGGCTGGCCCATGCTATGTAGCCACACTGGCCTTGTCTTCCGGCAACCTTCCTGAGTCAGCTTGCAGACCTCTCAGATGACAGTTGTGACTGTGGTGCATGGCTGGTTTCAACAACCACAGGGAGGCAGAGCAGAGTAGGAAGCCTTTGGGTCCACTGGCATGAGTGAGTTAATGCTTCTCCTGGCCAACAGGTTAGCCCTCCAGATCCCAACTCCTGTGATGCTAGGAAATGGCATGAAACCCTCACTGGATACAGCCTTGAGATCCTGGACTTCTAACCTCTGCAACTGTGAACCTAAGGAAGCATTCCTCCATAGCTCACCCAGGACTGAGGGGGGAATAGAGCTCAGTGGGTGAAAAGAACACTTGTTCAGCATGTTCAAGGTCTTGGGTTCCATTCCCAGTGATGCCTCCCCTGTCCTCCCCACCCATAAACCATTATTAGGTACTACAGCCACGGAGAATAGAAAGTGGACATTATATAACCATGGCTCCTTCAAACAAGCCTGCCCATGCCACTATTATTCCAATTTTACAAATAAGAGGAAAACCTAGCACTTGGAAGGCAGAGGCAGGAGGATCTCTGTGAGACTGACAGCCTCCAAAACAATGCAGAGAAATCCTGTCTCGTAAAAACCAAAAAAACAAAAACAAAAAAGAGGAAAAAAGAAAAGAAACCAAGGGGACAGGGCAAACAAAAAAATTAAGGGATCTTTTTTTTTTATCATGCATGCACATAGTGTTCTATGCTTGGACACCAGATCTCATTATGGATAGTTGTGAGCCACCATGTGGTTGGTGGGAATTGAACTCAGGTCCTCTGGAAGAGCAGGCAGTGCTCTTTACCTCTAAGCCATCTCTCCGGCACCCCTCCCCCACAAAAAATTAAGGGATCTAAAAGACTCAGTAGTGCTGAGATCGGAAGGCCTCCCTTGGTCACTGCCAGCCTTACCTTTGCAGAACCGTGGATTCCTGGGTGCTGCAGCCCCAAGCATCTTCTGAAAGCAGGACGGAAATGCCCATGGCACAGATGGGGATATGGAGGCCACAGAGGGGAGAGATGGGCTGGAACATGGACTTCTGGCTACTGGTTCCCATTCCAGATGATGTCTCCCAGCCCCAACCAATCAAAGCTCATGAGGGCCTGGGACAACAGAAAATGCACTGGCCACGAGATTCTGGGTCAGGAACCATGCCTGGAGCACACAGGTGCACAGCATCCAGCAACTGCCTCAAAGGTACTATGAGTTTCCCAGGGCAGAGAGGTGAGCAGAGCTACTGCAGGTGCCCAAGAGACGGTTCCTTAACAAAATAGTCATCCAAGATCAAAACACCTCAGAGGAGTGAGGGGACAGACCCGCGCTCTATGGCATGGAGATCTCCAAAGGCAACTGTGTTATAGATTTATTTGACATCTGAACCGAGTTCATAAGTCAGATCCATGTGTAACGGATTGCTTCATGGTTGTCAGAGGCTAGTGTGCAGTATTTCCAAGGGTTACATCCAATGACACGACGCAGAAAACACAAATGGACGGAAAGACAGATGTAATCGTTAAGACATGAGACGCTAAAACGTGCCCTAGTGTCCATGTGATTGATCTAAGGCGAGGACCCTTCTAAAGTGGGGACCCTAGTGATTGATCTAAAGCAGAGTGGCTTGCCGCCACTAGGCGCTAACTATACTGTGTGCAAACCAGGTACCCAGTATGGAGACTAGCCTGGAACCAAAAACTGGGGAACCTGCCCTCTCCGTGCCCAACTTGCCTCTAAATGTCTGTTCTTCCCGAAGGACCAAATGGGGACAGAGCCAATGTAGGCAGCAGCAGAGGTGAGTGGTGGCACTGAGCAAACCCATGATGTGGGGATAGAGTCTGTGGGAATCAGCTGCTTGGGGCTCCGTAACACTGTGCGTGAGGGGCATCGTGGGGGTGGTGAGAGGGAAGGAGCACCGTTCATCTGGGGACTAGCCAGCCCAAGTCTCCTCCCTTCTTGGCAGCTCCAGAGCCTTCCTTTTGGCTGGCAGCCATGAAAAGGGTGCTTGCCAAGACCCATGGAGGAGGAAAAAAATAACAGGACAGACCAAAAAAAAAAAAAAAAAAAAAAAACAACTAAAAGTAAACAAAAATAAAAGCCCTGCCTGCCCCAGGAGGAAAGAAGAACAAACAACACTTCTGGACTAAGGTCAGGACAAACTGGAAGACATGCTGGCCCACACCACAGGGACAGGAAGTTTCGTTCAATGTCTTGCTGCTTTGCTGAAGGGGAAATACCACCCACCCTGAGACTTCAACTCACTGGCCTTAAGTGTCTTTTTTTTTTTAAGTTTTCTTTTTTCTTTCTTTTTTTAATACCCAAACCATCATTTTCAAAGCTTAAAAAAAAAAAAAAAAAGAAAAGAACCTGACTAAAAAAGTTTGTTTTAGTTGCTTCAAAACTGGTGTGGCAAGCCCCAGGCCTGACCCTTTCACCTGGAAGCCTGGTCTCCCACAAGTTTTGCTGCCAGAGCCCTGCCCAGTGCCAATAAGGCCACCGTCCTGCGGCTGGCTCGCCTTACCCAACTCTGGCTAAGCCTGGGTGGGCACTGACTGTCAGCATCACCCGAAAAGAAAAAGGCGAACACTGCCAGGCTGTTTAAACACTTCCCACAGAGATAACCCTTCTTGGGAATGTATAAGTTATCTGGAGGGAGGAGATGGGAGGAGAGAAAAATAAATACCCAGATCTAAGTTACTGTCCCTGGGCCTCTGGTGCCGGCTCAGCCTCTGAGGCAGAGATGGCCTCCAGGGTGAAGACCCTGATTGTCCAAATACTGTCCTCTGAGAGTAGTCTCAGAGTTTACAGTCTCCGGCAAGTGCCTGCCCTGGGTATATGAGTCCCAGAGGGAGAAAAGGGGCCAGCCCCTCAGTTCCTGTCTTCTGCCCTGGCCCAGCTCATGCCTGGCCCGGGCTCTGCCTGGAGGGACCCAGCTGGCTGTTCAGCAGTCCTGGAGAGCTGGACTGCCCACTTGGCCTGAGGGCACGCTGAGGGTCCTTGCTACACGCTCAGGCCTGCTCCTTGTCAGCTCTCCAGAGCCGTTCCTTCACCTCGGGCGGCAGCGTGCTGAACAAGTCCTCCTCCACCACCAGGCCACTGCGCTTGAGCAGTGGACACTCGCCCAGCTCCACGGGTAGGCACTCCAGCCGGTTGCCCCGGAGCTCAATCTGTGTCAGGTTGGTCAGCTCACCCACTCTGGAGGGCAGTGACTGCAGTACATTGTTGCCTAGGTGCAGAGCCCGCAGCTTCCGGCACTGGAAGAGCTCTGGGGGGAGCGCCTCAATCTGCAGGAAGGAGCAAAGGGCCAGGTGAGGTGTATGGATGGACAGGGCGTCGTCTTTCTCACACACTCAGTTTCTCTGCAGCCTGACAATCCTCACTGTGGGCCCAAATCTGGCCAACAGCTACCCGTATGTAGGTATTGCTCTGCAGTTACTTCAGGAAGCCATCCTGACTCCTGGGTCCTACAACATTCACGATTCTAATCCTTCTGTCTGTCATTTCCCGGACTGGGGGCTCTATAAGTGAAGCGTAGGTCTACCCAGTACCTGCCCTTGAGAGGTATAGCGGCCTGCAGCTACTGCTACCCAACTCACCTCCACACCCCAGGGCCGGAATCCCAGCTAGATCACTCCTCCTCCCAGGACATGCCTTCGCTACCTGTCAGGCCCCAGGGCTAACAAGGGTGCAGGGGCCCAGCACCAAGCACTCGGCACTTCCTGTTTGTCTACATGGGAAGAACAGACAATATCCATGTGCAGCTTACCACAAGGTAGGCTTACTCAGCACAGATACTGCTTTGCTTTTTTAAAGATTTATATTGCACGCATGCGCGCACGTGCATAGGTCAGAGGACACTCGTGGGAGCCAGTTCTTTCTTTCCCACTGTGTGGGTCCCTAGGATCAAGCTCAGGTTGTCAGGGTTGACAGCAGATGCTGTTCTCACTGAGCTACTTTTTTCATGTGTATGGCTGTTTTGCCAGCACGTATATCTGTATAGCACATGAGTGCAGTGGCCACAGGAGCCAGAGGAGGGCACCAGATTCCCTGGAATTTGAGTTATAGATAGTTGTTAGCCATCATGTGGGTGTTGGGATTGAATCTGCATCCTCCGGAAGAGTATCAAGTACTCTTAACCTCAGAGTCACCTCTCCATTCCCCCCAAATTTACTTATTTTTATGTATATGAATCCTCAACTGCATGTATGCATGCATGTGCACCCATGTGCATGCCTAGTGCCTATGAAGGCCAGAAGAGGGCATCAGATATCCTGAAGCTAGAGTTATGTGAACATTGGGAACTAAACCCAGGTCTTCTGCAACAAGTGCTGACAACCACTGAGCCATCTCTCCAGTCCCTGTTTTTTTGTTGGTTACTTGTTTTGAGACAGGGTCTCACTAACAAATCCTGGAACTCGTTCTGTAGACCAGACTAGTCTAGAACTCACAGAAATCTCTGTCTCCCAAGTGCTGGAATTAAAGGTGTGTGCCACTACCACCAGGCTCTTTCTTTCTTTTATTTTTATTTATTTTTTTATTTATTTATTTATTGTGTTTACATTGTTCCTGCCTGCACACCAGAAGAGGGCACCAGATCTCATTATAGATGGTTATGAGCCACCATGTGGTGCTGGGACTTGAACTCAGGTCCTCTGGAAGAGCAGTCAGTGCTCTTAACCACTGAACCATCTCTCTAGCCCCAGCTCTTTCTTTCTTAAAGATTTATTTATTACATGTACAATGTTCTGTCCCAGTGTTTGCCTGCATTCCAGAAGAGGACATCAGATCTTATTACACATGGTGTGAATCACCATGTGGTTGCTGGGAATTGAACTCAGGACCTCTAGAAGAATAGCTAGTGCTCTTAACCTCTGAGCCATCTCTCCAGCCACCCCCATCCCCTTTAAAACAATATTATTTACACTGGGCAGTGCCTGAGAAGATCAGGATAGGTGCTGGGTTCTCTAGAACTGCAGTTATGGGTGGTTGTTAAGCAGTCTGATGTGGGTGCTGAAAATTTAACTCACGTCCTCTAGAAGAGCATCAACTACTTTTTTTTTGTTTTGTTTTGTTTTTTTCGAGACAGGGTTTCTCTGTATTGTCTTGGAGGCTGTCCTGGAACTCGCTTTGTAGACCAGGCTGGCCTCGAACTCACAGAGATCCACCTGCCTCTGCCTCCCGAGTGCGGGGATTAAAGGCGTGCACCACCACTGCCTGGCGAGCATCAACTACTCTTAACCTCTGAGTCATCTTCCTAGCTCTCAGCACAGATACTGTTAACCCATCCAGTGTCCAAAACTACCAGTAAATGACCTGTGAATGCTTCCTATTGAGAGAACAGATGACTGAAGACAGGAACTTGTCTTGAAGTTGAGCATGTAGAAGATGGTGCCAGGATTTGAACCTGGGTCAGAAGCGATGCTGTTGACTACGCACAGCAATGAATGAGGAAGGGAGAAATCATGGAGCTACACTAGAGCCATCCCTGGTGTCCTGGGCATGCAAGAAGAGCCTCAGGAATGGCAGCCTCTGCCCTGCCCTTCTGTGGGCAGTCAGCTAGACTTAGGGATCCTTACCATGCCTGACAGAACTGGCAGGTAGAGAATGGGACCTTACTACCAAGCAGGGACTGGGTAGGCTGCACAATGCCCGCTCTCAGTGACTCTGCCACTGTTGCTATTTTTCTGCAAAGGACAGGTGACACACACCCTGTCTGCGTGGCCATTTTTGAAAGAGGATGCAAGCTTTGCTTTTTGCTGCCACTCACACAGGAACCACATCTTGATTTGTCGAATACAGTGCTCTGTTCCAGAGCAGGAGGGAAGTCTCTTGTCCTCTTGGGCCTCAGTTTCCCCATTTGTGTGGCCCAGCTGTCCTGGAACTCACTCTGTAGACCAGACTCGCCTCAAACTCACATATATCTGCCTGCCTCCCAAGTGCTCGGATTAAAGGCGTGCGCCACCACTGCCTAGCCCAGTTTTCCCATTTGTTATTTAGTTTTTCTCCATGTAGTCGTGGCTGTCTTGGAACTCACTCTGTAGACCAAGGTGGTCTGGAACTCACTGAGATCCACCTGCCTCTGCCTCCTGAGTGCTGGGATTAAAGGCGCACACCACCACCACCCCGCCCATTTCTCATTTTTGAAACACAGAGTTTGGACTAGAAATTCTTCTCATCTCCAGCATTCCTAACTCAGGACATTTTTTCAGTCTTGGACCCTAACCTCATAGGCTGTGGTTCCCAAAGAGCAACTTAGTTTTCTCAGCAGGGAAATGAGTGCGACCACAGCCTCAGAGTCACCATAACACGAGTATCACAGTGATTTGTTCAATGAGATGTCTGACCTGGGTACCCAGAACTACTCTGCTAAGGCCAGGGTCAGGGGTGAGGTAAGATGGCTACAGGGTCTGAAGTTCAGGGATATGCAAGTCACGGGAGATGGGAGGTGGGCCCTGAAGGACCCAGGGGCCAGAGCTTCCCAGAATAGCCACACTGCCTTCCTGCCCCCACCACCACACACATCCTGTGACCTCCTCTAATGACACAAAGTCAAGGGCAGTAGAATTGGTTCTGGCCAGTGAGGGACAAAGTCAGGTCCACTCAGAGTTAGTCTGTGCTTCCAGAGACCCCTTCTTGAAATCCCCTCCCCAGAAACTCACTAACTACCACAGTAACACCAAGCACTCCCCAGGCCTCAGAGGAAAGAACAGGTACTTTTGGTAGCTTGGTTATGGCCACTCCTAACTTTAGACCTGTCCACAGTTCACTGAAGGCTTAAAGTGGTCTCCACACACCCTGAATTCATCTACCCTATCTCTTCAGAGACCTCCATGGCACCCTGATTAGCTCCTCAGGGAAGTGGCCTCAGGTCCACTTGGTCTTCAACGAAGATGACATTTGCAGGAGGCTCTGGGCTGCTCCCTTGTCCATGGCTCCTCGCCCTTCCTGAGCAACCATCTGGAAAGATGCTACCTTTGCGAAACTCACAGAACCCAGCCGCTGCTGTTCTGTCAGCCTGGCCTCTGGCCAGTCACAAGCCAGATCCACAGCTGTCCTGTCACTGACTCCCCATGCAAAGGAGCCATATGACCCAACCTGACCTCACTGCTCACCTCAGAGCTCAAGACCCCTCCCTCCTCATCCAGGAGCACAGGAAGGATGGCTCTGAAAGTCTCAGGACAAGTCACTGAGGGCCCAACACAGGATGCACACTCATCATTTGTCTGAAGACCCCCACCTCCTCTCAGGTCCTGAGAACCACCTCACACTGCGTCCCCAACGGGTGACCCATGAGTCCGCCTCCAAAGACTCTCCCACTCAACAGGTGACCCATGAGTCCGCCTCCAAAGACTCTCCCACTCAACAGGTGACCCATGAGTCCGCCTCCAAAGACTCTCCCACTCAGTCTCATTCTGTCCCTAGCAACCTTGTCCCTCCTCACTGCCCACCCTGTTGTAGTCTCAAATCCAGCAGGGCCCTGCCTGCCTGTAACTGGTCCAAGCACATTTTTTCCTATAAAAGGCCTCTCTCTGGGTACTCCCGGGGGTGGGGACAGGATGTGATTAAGCAATGTGCTAAACAGGGTGTCAGAGGGTCTCCTTCCTCTAGTACAGGACAACATGCCTCTGCCAGCTCCTTTCCTAAGGGGTGACCTCAGCTAACAGGCATGACACTAACAGGCAAGCCTAGTGTGAGAACCTGGGGGTGGGGGATGAGCTAAGGCGAGGCTGAAAACTGGACTACACCTTCCTGAACCCTGTAGGAAAGTCTGGGGTGGCCCAGCACCTGGGCATAGCAGGCACTTCAGGGTAAGGGATGGAGAGTCCATCCCAACCCCCTGGAACAACCAGGCTCCAACATTATGCCTCAGGGAGCCACTTGGTACCCCACCCCCACATTAAAGAAGGGATCGCCTAATGTTTGGTTTTCGTTTTGTTTCTGTTTTTGCTCCCCGCCTTCAGGGACCTCCATTTTCTCTTTTCAATGAGTTCCATATAGTGAAAACAACCAGAGTTGGACCACCATCCTTGAACACCCTCAAATATACATAAACCATAACCGGGCATCAGTGGCGCACACCTTTAATCCCAGCACTCGGGAGGCAGAGGCAGGCGGATCTGAGTTCGAGGCCAGCCTGGTCTACAGAGTGAGTTCTAGGACAGCCTCCAAAGCAATACAGAGAAACCCTGTCTTGAAAACCAAAAAAACCCCAAGAGCCTCAACAATCCCCCGCCCCCCAATATGTAAGCCATACCTGGGGTAGGGAAATAAAGACTGTCCCAACCCCTCTGACATGGAGGACACAGGATGGCCTGCACTAAAGGTGCCCAGTGACAGAGGAAGGAAGCCCCTAAGCCATAACCAATCTGTGCCTGCCATGTAGACCTGAGTCTTGAATCAGGGCCATTGTCCTCCATGTCTGGGGCTGGAAGAAAGAGCTGCAGTGTCCTACCTGCTCAGGCCACTCCTCCTCACCCTCCCCACTCAAGGTCCAGCAGAGCTTACTCAAACGACTGCTGTAATGGAGGCACAGAGACCGGCGCCCCAGCTCTGTCTCCTGACCCCTAACCTTAGGTCCCCACCTTTTACAGGAAAACATCCTGCAGGCCTTGAGTACAGTGGAGTCTCCTACCCAACATCCAGTGGCTGTAGCCTGGTTTCCCCCGGGAGGTCAGACCACAGGTCAAAGAAGTGCCCTGCCCCCAACCCCAATCTAACTGCCCTATTCTTGGTGAGGGCTTTCCAGTCTCACAAAGAGCTGGGACCAAGGGGTCTGACGGGGGGAATTCCTTCTGTGTATACGTTTGTCTTATTGGTAGATAAATAAAGCACTGTTGGCCAATAGGGAAGCAAGATAGGTGGAACTAGGAGAGGTGAAGGATTCTGGGAAATAGAGGCACAGTCACCATGTAGGACACAAGAGGAGTGAGAGATCTGAACCCTTTCTCCAGTAAGAAACGACCACGTGGAAATACTCAGATTATCAGTTATGGGTTAATAATTAAGTCAGAGTTAGCCAATAAGAAGCCATAGCAAAAGGCCAGCAGGTTCATAATTAATATAGTGTCCTGTATGTTCATTTGGGACTGACGCGGCTCTGGGACCAGGCTGGCGGGAAGAATGCTCGTTACAGGGGCCACCTACAGTTTCAAGGGCATTGCTTCCCACTATGCTAGGCCCCAGTGGTTTGAGCAATTTCTTCTCCAGAAAAGCAGGAGGGGATAAGCCAGCTCATCTAAGCCCAAACTTTCCCTCTACCACCCTGAGGCAGAGAGGAGAGGGACGTAAGCAATGCTGGAGCTATAGAAACCATCTGGCTTCACCTCTTGCTGAGGGGACCCAGGCTAGCCCCTTGGCTCAAAATCTCATTGGAGACAAACTGGGGGATAGAGACCACAAGCTTAAGGTTAAGACCTGCCTTCTACCACCCTACTCCAAGAGAACCTTGGTCTTGGGGTTCCTGTGTTATGTACACCCCTGAAACACAGGCCCTGCCTGACCGCACCACTTGTATGGCAGAACTCTGAGCTTATGTGACAAAGACAGACTCCCGGCCTGAGATTTTTTTTTTTTTTGGTTTTTCAAGAAAGGTTTTTTCTCTATATTGTTTTGGAGGCTGTCCTGGAACTCACTCAGTAGACCAGGCTAGACTCGAACTCACAGAGATCCACCTGCTTCTGCCTCCTGTGTGCTGGGATTTTTTTTTTTTTTTTTTTTGGTTTTTTGAGACCCGAGTGCTGGGATTAAAGGAGCGTGCCACCAAAGCCTGGCTCAGCCTGAGATTCTGATTTAGCAGATCTGCAACGAGGCCTGGGAGTTTGGCTCCTGAACAAGTACCGTGTTTCTAGAAACAAGTGAGGACCTCAACCCCAGAAGCATGCACTGTCCTGAGACACTAGTTCTCTGAACACTCAGCAGGCAACCCTGTGGCAGGCCACTCACCCTGTTGGCCGTGACGGCCAGGTTCTGGAGGTTCTGCAGGAGGCCGATGTCAGCAGGAAGGAAGGTCAGGTTGTTGTGGCTGAGGTCCAGGTAGCGCAGCTTGCGGCAGTAGAAGAGCTGGGTGGGAATCTTCTCGATTTTGTTGCGGTTCAGGTAGAGGCGCTCAAGGTTGGTGAGGTTGCCGATCTGGATGGGGATGTAGGCAATGTGGTTGTACCACAGCTTAAGGCAGGTGAGGCGGTGCAGATGCTGAAAGCTAATGATCTCCTCAATGGTCTTGAGGTTGTTGTCCTTCAGGTCAATCTCCTGCAGGTTGTGGAGGCTAAAGATGGAGTGAGGGATGCGCTCCAGGTCACAGCGTATCAGTTCCAGCTCCGTCAGGTTCACCATCTTCTTGAGGCTGTTGAGGACGATGAGCTTGGTGCCCTCGTTGTTGATGGAAAGTTTCTGCAGATGCACGCCCACATCTGTGACTACCTGTGGTAGCTTGCTCAGGTTGCTTTTGAGCCGCAGTACCTTGAGGCGCTTGAGCTCCCGAAGCCCATCGATGACAATGTAGCGGTTGTTCTCGGCACTCAGGTTGCCGGTCAAGTGCAGCTCCTCCAGTGTCTTCAGGCTGTAGATCCACAGCGGGATCTCCTTGATGTCGGTGAACTTGATGTGCAGTGCCCGCAGGTTCTCTCGCAGGAAGGCCAGAGCAGGAGCCTCGATCTTGGCTGCCGTGTGGTACAGCCACAACTCCTTAAGGCCCGTGAGCTGGGCAATGCTGGGCGGGATGGTCACATCAGGGATCAGCTCCAGCTTGAGGACCTCGAGTTCCACCAGGTCAAACACGGTGTCAGGGATGCCACTGAGCATGAACAGGTGTAACTCCAGCTTGTCCTGGGCATTTCTGGTGAGCCGCTGCCGCAGCTTGTCCAGCGTCCACTCGTTGTTGAGGTTCAGCTGCCGCAGCTTGTTCTCACTCACCTCAGACAGGAAGACGGCGAAGCGCTTTGAGTAGAGCGGGTCATACTGGTCGATGAGGTGCAGCATGAAGGCAAAGTCGTTCTTGACATCTGGGATGTCACTGTAGCTGCTTTCCTCTCGGATTGACTCAAACGAGTACTTCTTGAGGGAGCGCCGCAACATCCACCACAGTGTGTACATGCAGATGAGACCATAGAAGATGACCAAGCTGATGTAGAAGGACGCTAAGATCTTGAAGAGCGTGGCCAGAGGGTGGGCACACCGGTAGGTTCGGTACCCTGTCAGGCTCTCAATGTCTACAGTGCAGTCCACATCGAACTTGATGTTGTGCACATAGTACACAGTGTAGCAGATGATGAGGACGAACTTGATCACCTTGATGATGGTCTGTCGCATGTAGAGGCGGTACACGATGTCCCCTTCCTCCACGTGGGTCCGAAACTTCTTCACCTTCTCAAACAGTGCCTTTGCCTGCTCCCCTTCCTTCTTGTCCAGCACACCTGTCTCGGATCTGTCCACGATGCCCTGCTCAATCCGTGACTTGGTCCGCTGAAGCATGGGCACAGTGGCCTCCACGTCCTCGCTGACTGTAGATGACTTCTTGTCCATGGAGCCATTCATCTTGCTGAAGGCTGGCTTGGGGTCACTCTCCTCCACCACTGTCTCTGACAGTGCCCTTGTGGTCCATGGTGAATCGAAGCACTTGAGCAGGATAGACACAAAGTGCTCCAGCTTTGAACTGGTGCGTGGGAACTTGAACCAGAAGTTGCTACAGGCCAGGAAGATAAGGGTGTGCAGGAGCACAAGGTAGGGGAAGTACTTGGCAAACCAGTGCAGGCGGTTCTCATAGCACACGGCGTCCACATAGTTGTACTGATGGCGGTCTAGGTCATACTTGATCCCGGTGGGGCCTGTGTCGGGACTGGGCAGGACTGTGGAGTTGGGGTAAGTGGGCTCTGGGCTGGAGGCCACCCAGCCTCGGAAGGAATCATTGCAGGAATCTTTGGTGACCCACTTACAAGGCAGGCAGATCATCTTGTCCTGGGTGACTTGCAGCGTCCCCCCAAAGACAGCAATCATCAGCATGACAATGGAGATGTAGTCAGTGAACACATCCCACCATGGCTTCAGGATCCGGTATGCTGGTTGTGTGTCTGCAAAGTAGCGGAGCTCTGTCACCGGGATCATGATTTAACCTGAAAGGGACCCAGCAGAGGGAGTTATTACCAGGCAGATTCACAATTCTGGACCCCAGGAATGAGGGAAAGATACAAAAATTCTACCACTAGAGCTTGGTGATGGTGGCAAATGTCTTTAATCCCAGCACTTGGGAGGCAGAGGCAGGTGGGTCTCTGTAAGTTCTCGGTCAGCTTGATCTACAAGAGCAAGTTCCAGGAAAGCCAGGACTGTTACACAGAGAAACTGTATCTTGAAAAAAAAAAATCCATCATTGTCTAAAATTCCATTCTACATGTCAGGTGTGATGTCACAGGCCTTTAATGCTAGCACTTGAGAGGCAGAAGCAGGTGGATGGATATCTGTGAGTTCAATGCAACCCTGGTCTATAGAACAAGTTCCAGGACACCCAGGGCTATACAGTTAAATCTTGTCGAAACAAAACAAAACCCCAAACTCTCAAAGTCTGGAAACCAGCACTATGATGCTGCAGTAGTGACCTGAGGGGTTTCTGCAGTGAGGAAGGCAGGGGAAGCTTACCAACAACTCTTTCCTTGCGGGGGGGGGTGTTGTTGTTGTTGTTTTGAGACAGGGCTTCTCTGTGTAACCTCCCAGGCTGTCCTGGAACTCACTCTGTAGACCAGTGCTGGGATTAAAGACATGTGCTGCAGCCACCGCCGCCACCACCAGCTGCAGCCAGTATTCTTAACTGCTCATCCATCTTTCCAACCCCCAAGAACTCATTCTTGTAAAATAAACCTTGATGCTTAAAAATCTACACATGTAGTCAGGTGTGGTGGCATATACCTTTAATCCCAAAGCAGGTAGATCTCTGAATTTGAGGCTAGCCTGGTCTACATAGTGAGTTCCAGGCCATCTGGGACTACACAGTGAGACCCTGCCTTGAAACAAAAGAAACTAAAACACACTTGTAAGTCTGTACATACACAGTATAGACAGACCTGTGGGGGCAGACAGAGGTCTAGCGAGGGACTAATGGAGGTAGGGGTGCAGGAGGGAGGCTATGTGTAACTTCCTGTGAATAGTCTGCAGTGTGGAGAAGGAGCTGTAAACAGCAAGGGAAGGAAAAGTCTCCTCAAGAGTTGCATCTGGCTGGACTTAGGAAGTCTGGGAATCTAACAGCGGTTTCTATGACTCACATGGTTAGCCCATTGAGAAATGCTGGACCAGAAGCTGCTTTACTGAGACCCAGTCTGAGCCACAAACATGAGCAGAAGGGGAGTCCCTGGTATCCCTGAACACTCAGCCAAGGAGACTGAGCTTACTCTGATCTACAAAACTATAATGAGTGGGATAAAGGAATTATCTATCCCTGGAAGTTCACTAGAAGAGATCTGGAAAAATATAAAAAACATGAGGTGGGGGGAAAAGGCCCCGCCCACTCAGCTGCCCTCAATGCACACTCTGACTGATAACTCTCCTGACTTCTGGTTTGGTTTCACCTGAGATGAGGTCTTATATAGCTATAGGCTGGCCTCAGTCTCATTCAGCATATAGTCAATGATGACCTTGAATTTCTGACCCTGTCTACTCCCTAAGCCACCACACCCAGTTTATAAGTTGCTAAGGACCAAACCCACAATTTACTGCATGCCACACAAGAGCTACATTACCACCCCCATTTTAAAAAGTAAAATTGTGCCGGGCGTTGGTGGCGCACGCCTTTAATCCCAGCACTCGGGAGGCAGAGGCAGGCGGATCTCTGTGAGTTCGAGACCAGCCTGGACTACCAAGTGAGTTTCAGGACAGCCTCCAAAGCCACAGAGAAACCCTGTCTCGAAAAAACCAAAAAAAAAAAAAAAGTAAAATTGTGCTCCTACTTAACACCGTGTTTTCTTGATCAAAATCTAGATTTCACACCAATTTTAAATATTGTATTAGGTAGGTCTCATTCTCTTGGAAGAGGAGTGGGACATCCTGGGGAGGGAACCGGGCTACTGTCTTTTCATACTGATGTTGATCATGACGGATCCTTCAATTTGTTGAATCCTTTCCACAAATACCACCTGCTCCCCACCAGTCTCATTAAGTACCTCAAAATGGGTATGAGGCACTGGGCCTTAGTAGAGGAGGCACTAGCTACAGTACAGGGCAGGCTCCTCCCACATTGGCTCTGGGGGAATCTCTCCACCCTCTTCTCTTTAGCCCATGCCACAGATAAGGCAAAATATAGTTTCAGGAAGGTAAAAAAAAAAATCTGCCCAATGAAGTTTATTACCAAGTAAAACATGGGCTCATTCCTCCTGGCTGAGCTCAGGCTTCATTGCTCTATGGAGTTTGCCCTCCTCTTGCCTAAGGTCCCATGCACAGGAAGTGCCTAATACACAAGGAGTTGAAGAAACCCTCAAAGGTGTCCCGCTTCCCCACCCCCAGGCTCCCATTGTTTAGGTCACCTCAGGGCCAGCAGACAATACCAGCAGCCACCCAGAGACAGTTCTCCTAGTGAGGCTGGACTCTTGGGCCAGGGTGAGTGCCTATCCCACAGGAAGGCCCCAGCCCGCTAATGACCACCTGGCTTCGTACACCACCCACACTACTGGGAGAGAGAGGCACAGGGGGGGACTGGGGAGGGCCGGCTGAATCACACATCTGGAAACCACACAGGGTATCTTTCCTGGCTCCAAAGTCTCATCCAGGGCAGCAGAAAACTGGAGAAGGGGAGAGGTAAAGACTGAGGGCTTGAGGGAGTGAGGCATCCTGTCCCACTCATCCAGGAGGAGACTGGTAGGGACAGAGAGCCAGCCATTTGGGGCAGGAACAGCTTCTGGCTGTGGCTTCTACCCTACAGTACTTCCTTTGATTTCTGGTGGGAAGTTGAGCCTGTCCGTTCATGGGGAATATCCAGCCTCCTTATGAAAGACAAGGTAGCGGTCAGGGTCCAAGATGCAGGCGAGGCAGCCCAGGCTGAGAGGTCAGACTAGCTAGCTGCCTGAGGAAGAAGACACTCATTCCATCCATGCTCATCCACCTGCCCCGCCCCCACCTCAAAGCACATCCTGGATTCTATTCAGGCCTTGGCTAGGCCCTGTCTCCCACCTCAGGCCAGAGTGTGAGCCTGGAAGAGGCCGAGGCCGGCAGGTGAGCTGAACCGAGGGCTGCCTCCTCCAGGCAGCTATACTGCTTCTGCAGCTTGGGCTGACATGACCAACCACCCCTCCCTACACCATGGGGCCAGGCCACATGCTTGTTTAGCACAGTAGTCCACAGCACTCTCAAAGAGAGACAGGGTGGGGGTGGGCAGGGATGGGTGTGGACCTGGGTGTGGTGAGCAAGCAGTTTCAGGTGGCTATGGCTTGGGCAGGGCCAGCAAGAGATGACCCCGCCCACTTCCTGCCTCAGGGAGAGACTGGAGCTCTAGGGAGTGGTGAGGCGCAGTACCCTCCAGCAGCCGGAGAAGCCCGATGAGTAAGCACCCACAATGGGAGCAGCTCCCACGCACAGGCTGGGATGGGGCCCGGGCCAGAATCCAATGTGTGCCCATGGCTTTCCTCAGTGGCTTTGGGACATGAAAGATACAACTACCACAAATGCAGCCATCGTCCCATGCCTGTGTCCGGCCTGTGCTGTGAAGCAGCAGAGCTGTGGCACAGCCTCTTCACCTCGCAAAACAGAAACTCTGATCATTACTCACTAACTCCTCCAGTGACCAAGACACTGCCAGCTGCTGTGTCTACCCATCTCCACGAACCCGACGGTTCTAAGTCTCTGGAGATGATGCAGTGCTGCCCTGCCGCCATTACACCATTCCTCCCTTAACTGGAACTCCTCAAGGTCCATCATGTTGTAACCTACTTCAGACTGACTTTTGGTTTGTTGAGACAGGGTTTCTCTGTGTAGCCCTGGCTGTCCTGAAACTCACTCTATAGACCAGGCTGGCCTTGAATTCAGAACTCAGAGATCCACCTGCCTCTGCTTCCTAAGAGCTGGGATCCGCTGCCCTGCTACCGCCACTGCCGCTGCCAGGCTTATGGGGGTTATTCTTACTCAAACCACTGCAGAGAGTGTGTGTGTGTGTCTGTGTGTGTCTCTGTGTGTGTGTGTGTGTGTGTGTGTGTGTACAAGCTTATGGGAGTTACTCTTACTCAAACCACTGCTGTGTGTGTGTGTGTGTGTGTGTGTGTGTGTGTGTGTACAAGCTTATGGGAGTTACTCTTACTCAAACCACTGCTGTGTGTGAGTGTGTGTGTGTGTGTACAAGCTTATGGGAGTTACTCTTACTCAAACCACTGCTGTGTGTGTGTGTGTACAAGCTTATGGGGGCTATTCTTACTCAAACCACTGCAGAGTGTATGTGTGTGTGTATGTGTGTGTGTGTGTGTGTGTGTGTGTGTGTGTGTGTACATAAGCCAGAAGGGACTGCAGTTACAGGTAGTTGTAAGGCATCTGACGTGTGAAACTCAGATCCTCTGGAAAAGGAGCAAGATAACTACTAGGCCATCTCTCCAGCTTCTATTCTTAAAAAGAAAATTTTTTAAGACCTGATTTCACTATATATTCCAGACTTTCCTCAACTCAGCAATCCTCCTGCATCAGTTTCCTAAGGGTTGGATTGTAGGTATGCAGCACACACTTTGCTTCTTTCTTAAGGCTCAATACTACACCATGTGCTCATTTCACACACAGGCTTAAGAGCAGACTGCACACTTATGCACAGTGCAATCCTGACAATCCACACCCCCAGGGGCCATTCCAATGAGCAGCTCCACCTGCCAGCTCTCTTGGGTGCCCCTGGGTGTGAAGAAGAGCATCAGAGGGTACTAGGATGGGTACTAGGGGCAGGATCTTTCTCAGGAAGTGACCACAGGCTGTCTGGATTCTCTCCACTTTCCTGTCTGGAAGGGAGAGGAGACTCTGCAGGAAATGTGCCCAGGTGGCATAAAATATGGATCAAGGACCTGAAAGGCAAGTGGCAGAGCCCAGTCTTTGCACCCCACTGCAGGTCATTTAGCAGGGCTTGGGTCCCAGGGCTACTGTCATCCCCACAGACACCCCTTGTCCT